TCAGCCCTTAGGGAACAAAAAGGCATTTCCTAGATTTCTTTTGGAGGAATCCAAATCAAGCTTTGAGAGGAAACAAAGTATATTCTTGCATGATTGTAGTACTTTTCCATGAGGCCAAAGTCAGGTTATGCCAGGAAATAGAACCTGGGTCGAATGCTTTTCACCCCCCACATCCTTTCTGAATATAATGGGAATTCTACAAAATGGTGATTGGGGATTCTACCCAATGGTGATTGGCCATTGTGTTTTAGTTTTTATGGACATTATATGATTTTGTCTTTTTTTTTCCTTCTGTGATTTCTTAGTCAATACACTGAGAACTGGAGCAGTGCTGTACTGCTAAACAGAAGTTTCTTTGAATGAGAAGTCTTTCTCAATTTGATTTTGTACTTCTCTAAGATGTATACTATCCTTGAGTAGTTCTAACATAAAACAGTAACAGAGCTAGTTAATTAAATGTATGTATTCATGTTCTTTTGATTTTTCTACACTATTTTCTTTTCTAATAATCCTAATAATCAAATTAATAACTATATTTATTAAGCACATATGTTTAGCATGTATGTTGAGCATATTATCTTACCATTGCCACTTACCACCATTTTGACCTTAATAACAACTTAATCTTTTTGTGCCTCACTTTAAACTATAAAATAGGCTATAATAATATTACCTCTCTTACACAGTTTCTACAGGATTAACTGAGCTAAAGTATCTAAAAAAAAATTTCAAGAATGTCTGGCACATAGTAAGCACTCAACACATGTTAGTTATTATTCCATGAAGCAGGTTAGCTTTCAGATAGCTGAACTGTAGGTGGAGGAGAATTTTTAATCTTCTTACTCCTATTTCTAATGGGAGATAACAGTGAAGAGACAGTAACAATATCCAAATGGAATTATTCTTGATTTTGCCGTCATGTGTATGTGTGTCTCTATTTCTTGTGGTAGGAACAGTTCTAAGATGACCCCAAAATGTCTCAAGATTCTTGCTTCCTGTGTATAAGACTTACAGAACCTTATGTCTTTGAGTGTGTGTATAACCTGTGCCTTTGTGGGCAGTCACTCCCTTGGTCAGGTTATACGATACAACAAACTGTTATGGGATATTCACCCCTATACTTACACAGCCCCAGACAATACCTTAATTTTAGCCTGGCGAGACCCTGAGCAGAGAAGCCAGTTGAGCCCTGACCAGTACCCTGACTGACTGCTAAGTTTATGGTAATTGGTAACACAATAATAATAATAATAAACACTAATAAATTTATTTAAACCTCAAAATCCTTTACATGTACAACTTTCATGGCAGTCATAATCTGACATTAAGTCAGGTATTAAATATTTATTAAACAACTATTATATATCAGGCATACATAAGAAGTGGTGAGAATATACAAACTGAAAAATTAGACATGATTGAAAACTCCTTTTTAAAATGTTACACCCCAAATTGATCAAATATATCAAATAATTTCAGACTAATGCAAAGTTCAATGGGACCATTGATCTGACTATACACTTTGAGGCAGACGAAGGTAGCAATAGATTTTTTTTTTTTTTTGGTTATTTATTCAATGTTAGGTCATTTATTCCCATAGAGAAAATTCTTTTTGCAATGACATTTTTAGAGAGAAGATTCATTTTTCACAGAGTTACTATGAACCAGTACAAAGATATTAAAAATGCACGTTAAGCCTCCTGAAGGAAGCATGCCTTGAAAATGCAAAACAGGATTGCTATTAACAGAGCCATTTTAATGATCCTACTTATAGAATCACTATTCTCCACATACACTGCCATATTGTCCTATTTATTTAAAAACCAACTTTATTAGTTACTTAGATCAAATATCTTCTCTCATCTTTTTAAACATGCTATGCAATGATTATTGCTTAAAAATGAATAATAAATGACATAGTTTATAGCATAATTTTAACCTTAATTTCAACAGGTGTCAGACTCATAGTTGATTATGGTTTCATAATCTCAAGTAGTATAGTAAATTAAAATACAAACTTATATTTGATCTTAGCTTTAATATTCAGATTTAGAATTCCCCCAGACAGAAATGTCAGACTGCAGTACTGCCTAGTGTAATCATTATTATTGCTTTATCACCAATTTCTATAGGTCTCCAAAAGAAACAGTTGCTATCTTGAAGTTCTTATTTCCAATTGCTTTCTGCTATACCTAAGGACTCTAAGAAGCAAAATCCTTGAGTTGAGCTGCAATTCAGGATGCAAAAAAAATGAGAATAAAGAATAGGCACACACCTTTTCAAAAAATCCACCTTACTATGCATTGATTCTAAAAAGAACATTGGTAAAACTCTTGCCTTTGATATCACACATATACACAGCCATCTGTCGTTAGCTTGAAGCAGAATAGTAAAATGTCAACGAGAAGCTACTATTGGTGTTATGGTGCGAATCTAAACCAAAAAGCATTTGACATTTCTAGAAACATCTATTGCCACTGTGATTTGTAGATTGATGCACAGTAAAACCTTTTATAAGCAGCTTGCATGACACTAAGTATTTGAACTTAACAACTCTTTAATGTACATTAAAATTATTAACACTTTAATAATTCTATGATTTATGAGAACAAATATAATCAGACATTATTTAAAAGTGCAGATACCTTTCAGGTAATAGCCTATGTTGCCTCTAGCCTTTCTCTTTTATTATTTTTTTACTTTTATTTTTTATTATTTTTTAATTTATTTTTTTATTTCAACATATTACAAGAGTACAAATGTTTAGGTTACATATATTGCCTTAGCCCTGACCAAATCAGAGCTTTAAGTGTGTCCATCCCCCAGATGATGCACACCACACCCATTAGGTGTGAATATACCCATCCTCTCTTCCCCCTCACCTACCCAACACCCAGTGAAATTATATGTGCATACACATGTTGAGTAGTTAACACCAATTTGATGGTGAGTACATGTGGTGCTTATTTTTCCATTCTTGGGATACTTCACTTAGTACAATGGGCTCCAGCTCTATCCAGGGTAATACAAAAGGTGCTATATCAACATTGTTTTTCATGCCTGAGTAGTACTCCATGGTATACATACACCACATTTTATTAATCCACTCATGTGCTGATGGGCTCTTGAGTTGTTTCCACATTTTTGCAACTGTGAATTATGCTGCTATAAACATTGAATTCAGGTGTCGTTTTTATAGAATTTTTTTTCTTTGAGTAGATGCCCAGTAATGGAACTGCTGTATCAAATGGTAGATCTACTTGTATCTCTTTGAGGTATCTCCATATTACTTTCCACAGAGGTTGTACTAGTTTGCAGTCCCACCAGTAGGAGTTTTCCTATCTCTCCTAATCCATGCCAACATTTATTGTTTTGGCACTCTGATAAATGCCATTCTCACTGGAGTTAAGTGATATCTCATTGTGGTTTTTGATTTGCCTTTCCCTAATGATTAGAGATGTTGAGCATTTTTTTTCTTATGTTTGTTGGCCATTAGTCTGTCTTCTTTTGAAAAATTCCTGTCCATGTCCTTTGCCCACTTTTTAATGAGGTTGTTTGATTTTCTTGCTGAATTTCCTGAGTTCTAAATAGATTCCAGTTATTAGCCCTTTATTGGATGTGTAGCTTGCGAAATGTTTCTCCCCTTCTGTAGGTTGTCTGTTTACTCTCAGTTTCCTTGGCTGTTCAGAAGCTTTTTAAATTGATCCAGTCCTATTTATTTATTTTTGTTGTTGCTGTTATTGCCTTTGGAGTCTTCTTCATAAATTCTTTCCCTAGGCCAATGTCCATAAGAGTTTTTCCAACATTTTCTTCTAGAATTCTTATAGTTTCATGCCTTAGGTTTAAGTCTGTTATCCACTGTGAGTTGAGTTTTATGAAAGGTGAGAGGTAAGGTTCCTGTTTCAGTCTTCTACATGTGACTATCCAGTTTTCCCAGCATCATTTATTGATTAAGGATTCTTTCCCCCAGTATTTGTTTTTGTCTGCTTTGTCAAAGAGGCTATATGAGGCCTATTTTGTATCTGGGTTCTCAGTTCTGTTCCATTGGTCTATGTCTCTGTTCTTGCCAGTCCCATGATGTTTTAGTTACTGTAGCCTTGTAGTATAGCTTGAAGTCTGGTAAATTGATGCCTCCCAATTTGTTCTTTTTGCTTAAGATTGCTTTTGCTATATGGGGTCTTCTCATTCCATATGAAGTGTAGAATTATTTTTTATAGGTCTGTGAAAATGATGTTGGTATTTTAATAGGGATTGCACTAAATGTCTAGATCACTTTGGGTAGCATAGACATTTTAACAATGTTCATTCTGCCGACCCATGAGCATGGTATGGTTTTCCACCTGTTTACATCCTCTGCTATTTCCTTCCTTGGTGTTTCATAGTACTCCCTGTAGAGGTCTTTCACCTCCTTAGTTAAATATATTCCTAGATATTTTATTTTCTTTGTTGCTATTGTGAAGGGTATTGAGTCTTTGAGTTGGTTCTCAGTTTGACTGCTATTGGCATATAGGAATGTTATTGATTTCTGTACATGGATTTTTTAAGCTGAGACTTTGCTGAATTTGTTTATCAATTCCAATAGCCTCATGCCAGAATCTTTGGGGTTTTCTAGATATAAGAACATATCATCAGCAAAGAGTGATAGTTTGTCCATTTCCGCCCCCATTTGGATGCCCTTGATTTTCTTCTGTTGTCTGATTGCTCTGGCTAGGACTTCCAGCACTATGTTGATCAGAAGTAGTAATAGAGGGCAACCTTGTCTAGTTCCAGTTCTAAGCCAGAATGCTTTCAATTTTTCCCCATTCAGTATGATGTTGGCTCTGTGTTTGTCATATATGGCTTTTACCATTTTTAGGTAAGTCATGTCTATGCCTATTTTGTTAAGCATTCTTATCATAAAAGGGTACTGAATTTTGTCAAATGCTTTTTCTGAGTTTATTGAAAGGATCATATTGTCTTTGTTTTTACTTCTATTTATGTGGTGAATTACATTTATAAATTTCTGTATGTAGAACCATCCCTGCATCTCTGGGATGAAGCCCACTTGGTCGTGAGGGACATTTTCCTTCTTTATCTTATGACCAAAATTTTCTCCTGCCAAATGGGAGACATATTATAGGAGGATGAGTGAAGAGAGATTGAAGAGCAGTAGAAAGTGCAAAATGGATTCTGCCAAAGTTAGGTCTCCAAAATTCAAAAGCCTGTCAAAAAGAATTACATAGAAAACAAGTGTTAATGAAACTATGTTTATAATAATTCTATAGTAATGATATCCTAGCCACTATTACTCTAGATATTTATTTGCCTGTCTTTCCATGAAATCTGTGTGATGCTTGAAAATATGAACACAGGCTGGCAAAAATAGAAAAAATACTTACTTTGTAATTGTTAATGCTCAGCTTTTATCCTAGCCTCTCAATTCCTATCTGTGTGGTAATTTTATTAGCCCAAAACTAACAGTCATTTAAAAAATTTACAACTTCATTTTGTCATGTAATAAGAAAACCAGGGTTGGTTTATTACTCAGTATGACGTCTGTAGTCTAAGTTCCTTTTATGTGTTTGATATATTTTTCTTCCTGTAGGCCTTCTGTCTCCATGATTGCAATATGCTGCACCAACTATATGTGTGATGTCTACTTTCCCAACAGAGAGAAGGGAAAGGTCAATGGAAAAGTGGAAAAAGCTTCTTTCTAGAGAATCACTACCCTCCTTTTTGGACAGATACCTCCCAAAGGTCTTCCCCCTAATCATATTGACAAGAACTGTGTTACATGGCCACTAGTAGCTTCAATTGATAGAGATTACAATTTTATAATTTAAAACCAGACGACAATTAAGTTATATAATATACATGAAAAGCCTACCATACTGCCTGACTCATACTGACAAAAAGTGAATATTAATTACATGAATGAACATACACAATATATTATATTTATTTAGAAATAAAAATATAAGAATATTTGCTGAAATAATGTTGTGTTTGGTTTTTTTTCATGTGGTGAATGAGGATCAGGATGGGGTTTATTGGTTTGTATTTCCCCATTTGTATCTGTATTTCATTTGTGCTCAGTGTTTACAACCAAAAATATTTTCCAATCATATATTTCATTGAGTAGCTTATTTAAAACAAAATATTCATGCTTCTATTTAAGATATAATAAATTTGAACCATGTCAGTAGAATTAAGTACATTTTATACTGATTTATTGGTAATTGAGTTAAAATGATCCACATCCAGATTGGGAGAGTAGTGTCTTAAGATGTATATATTTAGATACTTGCACATATATTTATAGGAACATCTCATTTGAGTAGTAATTATATATGATATAAACATATGTGCTTATGTATATTTAACTGTTAAAGTAGCAATATCTAGTTTTTAATTCTAAAATGTGGGTTCCATTCATATTAATGTATCCTTATCTTTTGAAAGTCATGAGTCAGGATATAATAGATTTATGCCTACAATTGATGGATTCTAACAAATCAATTAAAGGTAGATTGAAAAGACCAGATATGAAGAACCCATTACAGAATAATAACTCAAACTATTGTTTCTATGTAAATTAACTCGTTAATAAACATAGTGTGGAATTTTGTTGTAACAACAATAGCTCTTCCAATTGCCAATCTACCTTACTGTCCCTATCCCAGAGTTCAGCTATGACTAACAGGTGGAATGGCAACCTCAAATCAGTATATTATTGATTCTGCATTTAGCCACTCTTGTGATAGATCTGACGCTGACTTTGATCTATCATTTTCCTGAAGCAGTTTCTCTGCTCTGAACTTTAGTTCTTTAATTACAAATACATCTTTGAGCCTGCAGTGTTATGGTACCTGTATTTGAATTCCCCTCCTGGAGCACACGAGAATGAATAGTGGTTATAAACAAAGAAACTGGAATCTAATAAAGTGATTTTAAATCTCAATTCTATAACTTAAGAGTTCTATGGATTTGCCAAAGTTGCTAATTGCTTTTCACTCATCAGTTTTTTTTTTTTTTATAAAACGAAAATAATTGTTCCTACTGCATTTAATTTTGGGGGGAATTAAATGAGATATCACATTTATCCAATTAATATTTATTTAACATCTGCTATATTCAAGGCTCAAAATACTTAGTAAAAGGAAGCTTTTTTAAAATTTTATCATCAATAAACTTTTTTTATTGTCTGACCACTTCTTATCTCTTGATTTTGTCTTTCCAATGCAACTTACGGAACTCACCTATTCTTTTCTAGCCTTATCTCAGAACTACTTTCTGCTAAATACGCCCTGCTTCTGAATTGAATATTGTTCAGTGCTCTGCACATACTCAACACATTCCTGTCCAAATTTTTGCTCATATCATTCTTTGAGAATTCCTATCTTTTCTCTTTTGTAGAAATATTAGCCATTCCTCAAGATACAGTACAGGGATCTTCCCCTTTCCACACATCAACTACTGACAGTTGGAAATGCTCTAAATTCTAAAAACACATTGCTCACATTCTGGTGCATTATCCTCTACATATATTTACAGTTATTTACATTACATCCTATCACTCTCCAAAGGTGAAAGGCTCACTGAAGATTCTAGCATGACTTATCCATCTCTGTATCCAAAATAGGGTCCCATATGGAGTAGAACGTGAAAAAGAAAGTTCAAGGAATGCATGTCTGAGCTGAAAAGCAGAAATCCACTTTCTCAAAACTTTATACTAAAAACTGTTTTAAATATCCAACTCTGTTAACTATCTTAAGTAATAATAGTGGAAATGAGATCAGAAGTCAGATCCAAACCTCAGAGGTTTTCCAATTGCCATGTCTCCTCTTTCTTATCAAAACAACAAATGAGAAGTACTAAGTTGGAAATATTTAAAGCTACAATTATATCATTAATTAAAAGATTTATTTAGAGTTTCAAATTCAAATTGTTAACTTTACTTAAACCATATTTTAGTTTTATATTAAATTAACACTACAGAAAAAATAATCAGATCTTTAAAAAATAAAGAAAAAGCAATAGATATTGTCGAATATCAGACCCAACATATTTTGCTTTTGAAACTTTTATAATGTGGAGGTGTCTGATATTCTCATTTGTATTCTATCCAAACAGCTGTCATTCACCACCTGCTGTGTAAAGCCCACTCATACTTTTAAAAGCCTCTAGAATTGTGTTAAAAAGAAACTTCTTCCAAATCAGTTAACTGTACTCTAAATGTCACACACACCTTTCCATGGCAGTCAAAAAAAGTATCAAAGTAAGAAGGTAAATAATGCTAAGCTTTATTTTCACTCCCACCCAAATTCGCAAAATCTTTTATAAGCTAGAATAATATATTTTGAATTATTCTGAAGAGGTAAAGGGTAAAATAAGCACAGGAGGAAAATGTGCGCAAAAAGATACCTATATTTTATAGCCATGTCTACCTGGAAGCCAAGTTGTTAACCCACAGAAGACACTAGGAAGACCAAAGTTTTATATTTGATGCTAGTTCTGAGGAAGAGCTCCTGGAACTATCAGCTTCACAATGTTTGTATTATGAAGCTAAGTTTATACTTGTATTCATGTAAGGCTCTGGACACTTCTGCAACCTCAGCTGCCCGGAACAACCCAGACAGCTTCCATCAACTTCTCACAGTTGGAGTATGCATGGATTGTGCAGGCTCTGGGTTCAGCTTGGCTACTGTATTCCAAGGAATATCACATGTTTTCAGGAACACAAGAGGACTCTTCTCTTTCATAGTTGTGACACTGGCTTCTCTTAAAGGGACTTCATATGTCTAGGGGGCAAAGAAGAGCAAAAGATGGTCAGGGCAAGAAGGCTTGGTTTGAAAGACATAGTGGCAGTTTAACAAATTTTAAACAAAGAAAAAAGTCTACATTAATTCAAATTTCAAGAAGGATAAACTTTACATCCACAATGTCCTAGGAGGCCAAGTGGAAGGAGAGGAAAAGCAAGATGGCCCAAGACACAGCAGCTGCCCTGATTTGGCTTTAATGCAGACACAGTCAATATTATCCTGTCAATGCCCCCACACAAAGGCATCTCACTCTCAGTTTAGAAAACTAATAAAAATCCACATCTTTCTATACCACAGGAGAATGATTGCACTATATAAATAATGGAGATAATTTAAGATGAGGATTTCTCCTAGAATTTCAATTTCTAGAAATTCATATACCTGTTCCTACAATTTCTAAAGTTCTATCTGTACAAACATTGATTCATTCTACCATGAAATTCTGATACAGTTGCCAAAGGTATTGGAAGCACATTAAATCTGTTAAATCTGCTGAAGGGAAAAATAATAACCACGGAGAGTTAATTCAGAAAAGTAATTTCTTAGCAAATAATCTAATTCCCTTTTATAGTATCAAAGGAAACACGACATAGTTCTCTTTCATTTCAAATATGCTAATAGGCACAAACTGCTAAAAAATATAAAGATTTAATATTTTTCCAATGAAAAAGGAAAGATTTATTTTTAATCTAAGAGCAATTATTTTAGCTATAAAATATAAGAATGACTAAACAAGGAAGAAATAAAATGTAGGTGCAGGAGATTGTTGTCATTACTAAAATTCACTAAGCATTATTAATATACAGGGTCACATATAAAACAAAGGTTGGAGCAATATCTGCCTTCAGGAATTAGGAGGTGATGCTTAATGTTTTGTTTCTGCCTTCTTTGATCACAGACTATGTTGTATGATTCTGTATTCTTACTGATTACCACATGCATTCAGAAGCAATTAAATTCTATTTGTGCCATTAAAATTTCAGTATTTTAAACCCAAGGTGCAGATAGAAAACCATTATGGATTAAACCTACCACGAAGATAACAAGAATGCATAACAGAGAAGTGCCAAAAGATATTAATGAAAACAGGCTACTACCTTTTGTTTCTAGATAGCTATTATGAATATAAAGCTTTGAAATAACAATAAAAAAATAAAGATGGAATTTATTATGGGACAGATTTAGATCATTATTACCTTGTTTGGCATCTCTACTCTAGGTTCACAATCTCTACCCTTTGAATCTATCTTTACCATGATAATCACATCTAATACCCTGACAGAGTAACATAAAACCCCTCTATATGATACTTGCACAGAGCAATTTTTTAAAAATATCTAATTATTATTATAACAGAAGTAAGGGCATGAAAAAGGACAAAATGCATTACTAGTTGTCTCTTTAAAACTTCCCCCACTCTTTTTGGGAATTAAAACCTGCATTGCTTCCCAGGCCAATAATCAAAGGAGTGTTCTTTGCTATTTGTTTTAAACCACAGATGATGGAATTGTCTGAGCAAAGGGCATGAAGTCATCTTCACCAGAGATAAGGCCAACCAGGACCACCAACCACAGGTAAACAGCAATAGCCTGAAGCTAAAAATACCCCTTAATAACTCTGTAATTCTGCTTCAAATCAGGACAGTGGTTCTTTAAGACAAGAGTCTGCCATCTTCCTCATTTACCAGAAAATAAATTTCTCTTTCCTTGTCCTCAAATCACTTGTCTTCATTCTTCTTTCAGCCTTGAAAGAGAAAAAAAAAAAAAAAAAAAAAACTCTTATAGAGATACATCATGTTTATGGAATATAAAATTCACTAATTTGAAGATATGATTTCTGAAAAATTTCATCCAAAGGTAAAAAACACAATTAAAGTTCCAAGAAGATATTTTTATGAAAATTAACAAAGTAGATCTTCAACTTAATATTGAAATATAAACAGTTAAGCACTAATGCAGTCTTGAAGAAAACAAGTTGAGTGGACAAATCTACCAGATATCAATTTATGAAAAAACTATAATAAGTAAAATATTATGGTATTAACATAAATAGAAACAAATAGCAATGTTACAGACTAAAAAGACCATTAAAAGCCTTTTTATTGAATATCTATTTGAAGAAAAAATTAGTCCTACAATCTATCATAATCAAAACTCAATTTCCATTGTATTGTAGAGCAAAATGTAGCAGATAAAACAATAAAGCTCTTAGATAATAATAAAAGAGAATATCCTCATGGCCTTGAGATAGAGAAATATATTTTAATCCTAATGAATATTGAAACCTTAAGATTCTGTTCATCATAAGAATCATTCATTAAGAGTGTAAATAGGCAAGCCAGAGTATAAAGAAAATACTATTGATACATAAATGGTAAAGAGGTAACATTCAGAACATATTTTTAAAAAGAAAAGAATTCTACAACTCAAAAAACAAAACCAACAAAAAAGGACCAGAATAATACCCAACAACACAGATCCTCGCCCCCCCTCGCCCGCGCTCCCGACTCTAACTAACAGTCTCTCTCGCGCCGGCGCCCGCTTCCCCTCGCCGCCAGCGCGCTCTCCGCCGCCACACCACTCACCCACCACCACCCACACACACGCACCCACATCCACTCTCGCACCTACCACACCATCACACTCACCCCCCCACCCACACACACACCCGACCGCGCCGCTGCCCATTCGTCTCACCATCCCCACTCACATCCCCACTCCCTCAGCGAACACCTCCCGACCACACTCAAAACCTCTCGGCACCAACCCAGCAGTCAACACCACCCCCCACCCCCCCACTTCTCGCCCTTCTCACTTCGCACCATCACGCCCCCCACCTCCACCCTCGCCCCCCAGAGCAATGGAAATCCACATACAGTGGTGGTAAAGGTATAAATTTGTATGGGTAGTCTTTGGACAAGTGTTAAAAGAAACATGACCCGAGACATAAAAGCACTATTTCAGGAAGAAACTGCAATGGAGAAGTTGCTCTGCGCGGGCGGCAGGGCCATGAGGAGATCCGCTGCTTTTCCCCGGGAAGCCAAGTCCCTTAGGTAATTGTCACCACAGAGGATAAGAAATTGATAGGAAATAGAGAGAATAAAAGAATACACAGAGACTAAGGTACAGTTTTATAGTTGTATATAAAGCAGATAAGATAAAGCCAGGGTTCTCAGGAGTCTGCACCCATCTCCGTAAGTAGCGAAGCCTTAAGGTTAGATTCACATAGGTTTTTTTTTTTTTTTGAGACAGAGTCTCGCTTGTTGCCTAGGCTAAGAGTGAGTCCTGGCGTCAGCCTAGCTCACAGCAACCCTCAAACTCCTGGCTCAAGCAATCCTCCTGCCTCAGCCTCCCAAGTAGCTGGACTACAGGCATTCGCCACCATGCCGGCTAATTTTTTGTATATATATTAGTTGGCCAATTAATTCCTTCTATTTTATAGTAGAGACGGGGTCTCGCTCTTGCTCAGGCTGGTTTCGAACTCCTGACCTCGAGCAATCCGCCCGCCTCGGCCTCCCAGAGAGCTAGGATTACAGGCGTGAGCCACCGCGCCCGGCCGACATAGGTTTTTATAATCACAGATATCAATTACCAGTTGCCAGGGTAACAGATTTACATATCAGATAATTTTGGTTGCTATTTTGGTAACAGGTAGTTTCAGTTAGGGTTAAAGATCTTTTCAAAGGGCTTCTAACAATTTCTAATCTATATAGGTGAACAGTTACAAAATCTTTCAAGGACTAACTTCTAAATTCTAAGAGATAGCTATCAATTAACAGAGGAATAACAAAGAGGTATGTGGCTCTATATTTCTTTGGTCTGGTTATTGTGGGCTTAAGGCAGACAGTCAGGAGAGAGCAGGAAGTCCATCTCTACAAAACAGATTGTTCAGAACCACAGGGGGCATCTCTTGCCTACAGCACTCAATGTCTCTGGCTCCCATCCTGTGAGCCAGATATTTACCTGTCTTGTCTTTCAAGAAGAGGAAGACTTCACAGATCTGAGATAACTGGGAAGCTTCCTGGAATACATCCATACCACAGCTTTGAGAGCCCTCTCAAGGTGAGGCAGCCCTTGATAGGCTAACTAATGAGTTCACATATTACTTCAGGGCAAAACCCTGCAAACTCCTGTTTTTGTCTTTAATATAGCAATATTGGGTGATGGAATAAAATAATGATCTTTATGAGCCACATCTCATTAATTTCTCATTCATCTTTTCATAACAGGTTTGGCTTATCAAGTGTTGGTTAATGTAGCATTAATTTCAACCAGGCTAGATCATGGGAAGCCAGGGGTAAGCCTTCAATTGTGAACCTCCCATTGGATTGTTTTATTTTAGATTGGCAGGGGATATAATGACCACCATTTGTGTTCCTTACTACTGTTACAAAGGGATTTGATAGGAAAATGGTGTTCTGGTTTCTGTTTCATAGATATTTGTTATTCTTTGCTTAAGCCATGCTTGGAAGTCTCTTCATCTTTCCTTCTTACAGTTTCTTTTTTTTTTTAATGTTATGTCTTTTTATACATCATAGACTATTAAGAAATATTCATCAATTTCTCTAAACTGGTTAACTGCTTACAACATAAATTACCTAAATACGTTTCCAAAGGCTGCATTTTATTATTCCCTTAGTTCTGGCTGCTATAACAAAAATACCATAGATTGAGTGGCTTTAACAAGAAATACTTATTTTGTACACTTCTGGAAACTAAGAAGTCCAGGGTCAAAGTGCAGGAAGATCTGGTGTCTGGTAACAGCACTCCTTCTGCTTTGTAAACAGATACCTTCTCACTGTATCCTCACATGGCCAAGATAGCAGTTCTTGTCTCCTCTTCTTATAAGGGTGCAAACGCTGCTATGGGTGCTCCACCCTCATGACCACATCTAAACCTAATTACCTCTCAAAGGCTCCATCTCCTAATGCCATCCCATTTGGCATTAGAGTTTTAACATGTGCATTTAGGAGAGACACA